CAGTTGGGAATCAAACCAGAGACTCTCTGCTGATGGCGTCGGGCTGTCAGGTCGCCCCGAGGCTTTACCATGTTCAACATTAAAAGCTAAATGATCTAAATTCTGTAAAAACGCGACCTCTGTGCAGATACATCGAGCAACACAGATGCCGCTCGCTGTCCCCAGTGGGATGTGTGGGTTGGAGCATAAAGGTGGACGAGTTTCTGAGAGCAGCAGACGGAGGAGAAGCTCCACTAAACAGCAGCTCCGTTTTAAAGTAAGTTATTATACGTCTGGATGGGTTGTAGGGAAGTTTTTGTGACATTGTGACATGATTTTTGGTTTGGAGGTCCACTCGGCTGTGAGGAGCCGAGACCTGACCTGGTGATCTGGTTAAGTGGATCCAAATGGACCTGAGCACCTGAACCACACAAACGATTTAATTTGGTCTGTGTGGCTTCTTCTTGATCTGTCATCTTTCTTGGCTTCATCTTCTTCTTCGCCATCTTTTTCTTTTCACCTTTCTCTTTTTTCTGTATCATCTTCGTCTTCTTGTCGTCGTCTTCTTCCTCATTAGCTTCTGTGTTGACTTTGCCATCTTCTTCGTCATCCTGTTTCTTCTTCGTCTTCATTATCTGCTTTGGCATTTTTTTTTACCATCTTCTTTGTTGTTGTGTTTTTTTTGGTTGTCTTCTTCAGCTTCTTCTTCTTTTTGATCTCTGCAATCTTTTTCTTGGTCCATAATTTTTTTTCCTAAATGTTTGTTGTTTTTGTTGTCTATATTGTCATATTTGTCTTGTTCTCCTTCATCATCTTCTTTGTCGTCACCTTCATCTTCGTCGTAATTGTCTTTGCAATTTTCTTTTTTGAAGTCTTCTTCCTCTACGCTGTCTTCTTCGTCGTCATGTTCATTTTTGTCATCTCTATGACTCTGTCATTGTGATCTTTTTTGCCATTTTAGTCTCTTTGGCCATTGTTGTTTTTGGTTGTCCTCTTCATCTTCTTTCTTGTCTTCTACTTCACTGTCTTCATCATCATCTTCGTCTTCTTCATCTTCTCCATTGTCATCATCTTTCCTTATCTTCTTAAATCGCTGCTCTATCTAACTGCAGCTGCTTGTCATTTGAAATAATAAACAGTGATGCTGGTGGTATTTTGGGTCTTTTTGGTTGTTGTGTATGAGTTTCAGTCTTTGTGCTAATCAGCAAATGCTAGCATGCTAAACCAATATCAGACATTACATTTAGGATTTGTATTATAAATAAATACGTGCAGCCTCAGAGGTCCTAACATGGTTTTTGCTCAGTTCCAGTTGGATTTTTCCATTAAAAAAATCTAAATTTCCCCGTCATTACAACTTGGACGTTGACTTGGACACCATTTACATTTAGCTTAGACGAATCTGCTATTGAACGAATGTGGCATCACATCAAGCTGCATTAGGGGAAGTGTAGGCTCCAGTGTTTTAGGAGTTTAATGGATGCTGGTCAGTAAAAGTCAGAATTCCTCCACCTCCGCTGCTTCACGGATTTTGTCTCTCAAAAATCAGCAGCCTTTTCATTGACTTGATTTCATTTTTAAATACCCAGCAGAAAGTAACTGGCATTGGAATCCATCTTTATATTGCTAACTCACAGCACAGCTTCGGTTTGCAACATAAAATCTGTAGTCTGCAGTTTTTGACAAATGTTACATCCCTGTTTTTACAGTATTGGATGGTGAACTGTACTGCTGCTGCTTTCACCTCGTGTTGGGACGAATAAAAATATATTTTAAACTGAAGTAAAAGCGTCATATTCGAGCAGAAACCATTTCGAAACATCACTGAAAGGTTGCGTTTTATTTGCAAAACCTCCATTTATTGTTGGTTATTCCAAATGCCGCATATTGATTATTGATTTTCGCTGTCAGGAGCTGATTTTTGAAGGCATCCCAAAGTGGTGACAATCTCTCAAAAGTGACAGCGTAAGAAGCCGAGTCTCCACCTTGTTTACGGATGTTTGTCTTGAGGAAATCATTTGAACAGATTCTATTTTGATAAGCAAAAAGCTGCGTCGAAACATTAAGACTTTCAATCTTCTGTCAGAACAGACAGTGGAGGGAACAAGCAGCAGACTCTGTCATCACACTTTGCCCCAGGCAGAAGCCTTTTATCTATCAAACTTTGCCACACCAGGGGGTCTGCTGCTATTTTAGGCCTCCAATAGCGTTTTTTTTTTTGTTCCTAAATTTTCCTGAAGATAGTGTTTGTTGCTGAGCAGTTAAAGCCAAAACTCACACAGCTACACACACAGACGGAGACTGGCTGGAGTAGTTTTGTTTGTTGCCGGGGATCGAGGGGTTGGCTTCAACACTAACAGACTGGGGAGCGGAGGGGGGACGCTGGGGACCAATGAGAGCTAAATCAGTTCCCTCGTTCTAGGTGGTAAAACCTGCATCCACCGATTCAGTTATACGGAGCACATATCGCAGAGCATCAGTATTTTTTTTATAACCACACTGTATCAAACGACTCCCCATGACTGCACAGAGCTTTACAGTGAGTTTCAGCTCATTTCGCTGTCCGGCTACAACTTTACAGTTTGGTTCATTCTCTGTGGTCTGATTTCTGTTTATGGAGAAAAAGCTGTAAAAAGCCACTGTGCACGACATCCTCAGCAGCAAACAGCAGCCCGACCTGTTGTCATTCCAGGCCGTCAAATACAGCCGCTTTGTCAAAGCTGCAGGCCTCTCAGAGATACGCACAAGCTGGCCTTTTTTGACGTCA